TTACTGGTGCCTTTCCTCTGTCTGTGAGGTAGATGACAGTGGATGACTCACAGAGATGTTATTTTTTGCCAAGTTTCTTTGGGACTCACGTACAGAAGCAAACATCTTTTCTTGAGATGGCAACCTTAATGTAGATCATAATCAAGAAGCATCACCACCGTTGGGTCTGTACACGTAGCCTGCTCCCACAAGGATGGTTGCTATCAGATTTACTGGAAAAGTGAGGCTTTTCCCCTTCATGAGAAACATGCCTGAAGGGAGAAATTCCCAAGTGTTTCCAAAACACCTTTTCTCATTTCCTAGCTATTCTCTTTTGCTAGACCACATTGGGGTAAACATCTTTTATCTCACTGACGTTCAGTGCTACAATCCAGACTTCATCAGAGTACATGCAATGACTACTTTTCAGAAAATTTGACCAAAACCTTTACCTTTCTATCAGCATCTCCTATAACCCCTTCTCCCCCCCCCCAAATTGCACCATGAGATGAACCTCTTTATAATAATTTTCCCCTCTTAGAGTTGGACCTTGATGATAAGGGCTGTTTTAGCAGCAATCTTTGGGTTGAAAGCTTGGGTAGATACTACAGCAATTTATGGATGATTTATTATACTTTAGGCAGCTGCACTGTATTTAGCTTGGCTTAGTTTGACTTGGGTAAATCCATTAGTATTTTCTAGGTTCCATGGAATAATTGCTGTAAAATCTGAAATTCCAACTTTTTAGAATTTGGGTTTTGTCATAACTAAAAGATGTCTCTCTACCAGCGTTGCCACCACTGGCTCAGTGTGCTCCATTGCTGGCATAGGATCCTAAAGGAAAAGTTTTGTTCTAGTTTATGCAATCAGTCCCATTTCAAAACAAAGCTCTTATCATTTCAGAGCAGTTAGGGCCATTGCTAGGCAGAATTTCACAAATTTCCAGATCTGAAACTTTCTTTGATGTATTAGTTAGGGGACTTGGTGAGCCCAGAAAATCATGCAGGCTGGTGCTGATGTGGAATAAGTTAGGAGAAAAACCTTGGTATTTTATAAAAATGTTGTTGACAAATCATTAGTTTGAGCTTCAAAAGATGCTGGGATAAAAATGGAAATTTTTTTGGGATGTTTCGTACAGAAAAAAAAAAAGAATAAATTGGCTCATGCCACATCTTATACAGCCTGAATCAAAAATGGGCAAAAGTCAGGAGTTTGCAGCTGTGATACAGGAATTTCATTTATCATCAAAAGGAGAAAGAGCTCCTTCATGCTGAGATCAGAACTGGGCTAACTGCACAATTTCCTAGTCCAGACTTCATTAGTGTTCCAGTGTCTGGGAGCAGTGATTTATTCCATCACTTTACGTGAACCCTGGTAAGGCATGTGGATCATGCTTTTTTTTTTTTTTTTTTTGTCCTGTACCATCAGGCTCAAGGGTGTCCTGGCCCTGAGTATTGCAGTGATACTTACGGTGATGCTGATAATGATAAAGGAAGTAATCAAGGCAAAGTTTGTAGGTAGAGATGATGAATTTTTTTTAAGCTAAGTGGTATATTTGAGAAAATCAGACAGGTTTCAATGATGTGAACCCCTCTTCAGGTCTGGAATAGAAGCACCAGACTTAAAAGCTATGTATAGGATGAGAACAGCTTCTCAGAACTTGAGTCGATAGGTCCTGGACCCTTTCCAAAATAAAGCTTACTGGGTATTTGTGGGATGGGGGTTGTTAGTCAAGGAGAAAACAGCGATTATTTCTAATTATTTCTAAAATATATCTATGTGAATTAATATACACATGTGGTTATATAAAAAGAAAGATTTTGATATTCTGGCCTAAAATTATCAATCTCTTATGTATAACTAACCTATATAACATTTTGCATGTATCAGAACGGATTAAGAAACTTGATGATCTCTCAATCCACTTTATACCAGCATCGCCAGTTACATTTCCAAACTGGCAGAAAACAAAGATGTGCCCAGTAGTGTTGAAAAGGATCAGAGCTTTGTTACTTGTCATTTAATATGTGTTGTCCCGACTGCCAAGGCTGTCCCAGACAATGAGCTGTCACTCCACCACCACCAGCAGAGCTGCTCCAACCAAGCACTTGGCCTGGCTGGATGTGTCCAGACGGTGCCACCACCCCTCCCCGAACTCCTGCTGCAATCAGCAACACAACATCATGAGCAGATCAAGTTAGGTGTCTTGGGGTCCTGGTGTGGCCACCCAACTGCCCTGTAGCTTACTGCTGCTTGGTGAACCCACCACTCATCTCCCAGCGCTGTTTCCCAATATGTGGTCTGTGATTTGGTTAGATGACCTCCATGTGTCTGGAGGCACCCAGGGATAAGGACTTTGTTGTGGTGGTGTGTTGATGTAGTGTCAAGCACCATGGTAGGTAGGATGCTGCACACCAGCTGCATCTCCCTGCATGCCAGTGGCTGGTAAGGAAGAGTATGGGATGCAAGAGCAAGGCTGGAAACAAGAGTTCAGCCCCTTTTGCACATGCATGTGCAGACATGCGCATGAGGAAGTTTAGGACAGCGGCTCCGTCACTGGGAGGTGGAGTCGGGGACGGGAGCATGTGTGCGTGCTTGCACCGGGGGCACAGCCAGGGAGCAAAGCAACCGCCGGAGAAGGTGACTGCGGGAGGGGAGGGGAGAGGGCTACAATTGGTACCAGATGCCCTCAGAAGCTAATGACCTGACAAACGCTGTGCTCATAAAACAAATTCTTTAAAAAGGAAGCAAATGGAAATATAAGCTAGTGAAAGAATTTGCAGCAGCTGCCCTGAAACCATTTCTCACTTCATAAACAGGTCTGCATTGAAGAAACAGCCCCTTTCTTCTTGTTCTCCTTTGTGGTCCCCTCCCGTGCCCACCAGCTCTTTCAGGGCTGAAGCCTGCAGGTTTCCACAGTGTCTTTGGCTCGCTGGACTTGTCCAGATTCAACAGCACACTGTGTTCCCTTAATGTCCATGTTGGCACTGATTTTTAATTTTTTTGTGTGTCATTTGTGGGCTTTCTAGTTGTGCATCCTTGACTGGAGAGGTTGAGGAAACGCAAGAGGCAAAGGTTGGCTCTGCCTTCTCTGCGTGAAATGCAGTGCACAAAAAAATTGTCAGCAGCCCTGTGCAAGCAAGGAGCAGAGGGGAGACGTTCGGGTACAACTCCACAGTTGTCACCTGAAGCTGCAGCACCTCTGCCCCTGCTTCAGAAGGGCTGATGTCAGTTTTTGCACCTATACCTTTTGGTAAAGGGATAAGCCTGACAGCCAGATAATGAGGGCATTTTTCTGTGGGAGCTGTTGTGTCAACCCGATGTCTTGGCCTCATTCCATCCCAGTTAATTCATCTACTGACTGCATTTCATTGATGGGGACTGTAGCCCTCTGGTCAGTGCTCCTCTTACTGTGGGATTATTTGTGATGCTTAATTAATCAGTACCTAATAGCTGGTCCTTGGTGGGAAGCTGCTGCAGTGAGGAGTGGGCTGAGTTTTTCCAAAGGACAAGTGACACATTGCAAGCTTTCCAGGGAACTCTTGTAACTTGAGGTGGTGCATGGGGGAGGCTAATTCCTCCTTTTAGCTGCAACTCACCTTGGTGGCCACAACTGAGTCTGTAAAGCTGGACAGGTGTCTGCCAAGATGGTCTTGATCCCAAAGAGCCTGGCATCACTATGCACAGGCTTGAAATGCTGTGCAGGCCTGCAGGAAGAGCAGAGGTGCTGCAGACCATCAAAGCAAAGTGGGAAGGTGACAACAGTGGGGTAGAGGAGACACCTGCATCATATCCAGCTTCTCCCTTCCACCACAGTCTGTGGTGTAGCAATGTGGACATGAAGCTTGGGCAACTCTGCTGCTGGGTCTGGGGGACTGCACATAGTTTGAAGAATACCTCATGAATGGTCCCCTAATATCTGCAGAGGTTTCTTCTCCAGCTAAACCATTCCTTGCAGCTGGAGAATCCTTTCTGGATTTTCTGATGTTTAATACAGGGTTCAACATACCCATCACCGTTCTGTCAGCAGAGGCTTTAAAAAGGTCTTTTCTTCCTGAGTATCTATTGCTGCAAATCTTGTCTTACTCCGAAACTGAAGTGTGAATTCAAAAGTTACCAGAAAGGAGAAACACCTAGTGTTACTGTATGGCCTTTATTGCCTTTGGAAAGCGCAGATCTCTTGCTGTCCACTGTCTGCCCTCAAACACGAGTGTCTGAGACATGTGTGAGCACAGTATGTATGGGAGGACACACATGAGTGGCTGCAATCATGCATGAGTCTAACAGTGTACTCCCTATTGCACTGCAGAGCAAGATTTCAGGGGGTCTCTTGCCACAAGTTCTCCAGTGTCCAGTATGATTTGAGCATGTTGGAGATGAGAAATTGTCATGTGGTAGAGAACCCCTTGCTGCTGGAGAAGCTGAAGCACTCTCAGGAAGGTGCTATAATGACTACTGTTTATAGTCTTTCAGGAGTGCTGCTTGATAGGACCATCTGAAACCAACTTTCTCACTTCGACCATGGGAGAGTTGTGGCCTTGCTGGATATGCTGTCTGCCTGCCTTCTCCCTGTCACCTCCCTTCTTTTGCTTTCTTGGTCCACCTACACCGAGCACCACCATCCCCTTTGGTGCTAGGCAGTGTGCAGGCTCTGTGCCGTGCAACTGTCACGCCCTGGGGGAGAGGAGCTGGAGTAGCACCACCAGACAGCATGGATTTGGGAAGGAGCATTGTTGGGCTGTGCCTCCTTTCATCAGCACTGGAAGGACACCATGGTCTGGGCGAAGGTGTGGGTTGGGGTTAGGCTGAGGTCCAGCCAAGGCAGAAGTGTGAAAAACTATCCTCCTGATCATCGTGAGGAGACTTCAAGCTTGTAAGAAGCTGGGGCTGAGGGATAGGTGTGCATCTCTGTAGGCACTGTGACCTGCTGAACACCCCGCACAGGTGCCACCTGGAGAGAACCCCACCGTGATGAAGTCCTGGGGCCCACACGTTGATCCCTTCCCTCTTTTCTTCCATAGCTGTGTCCATGATGCCTGTGCAGGATCAGGAAGGTGCACGCAGCCGCTGCTTGCTCATGCTGCCACCCTCAACTGTACCTCTGACAGCCCAAGACACATGGCATGCACTGTCACCTGCAAAAAGGGCTTCACCCTTGACTCCAGCAATGGGAAGAGCCTGCGGTCTGTGCAGGTGAGTGGACCTCAGGGTGGAGGTGATCTCACAGCCTGTTGGACAGACTGCTAGATAAGAAAGATTTAACTACCCTGAGGTGGTTGGAGTGACCCCAGGACACCTTGTTCCTCCAGCCCTGACTTCTTTGCCACTTTTCCAACAAACCTCAGCCAGTGGAGGCTCCAGTGCTGGACCTCTGTGCTGGTTGCTGGTGGTCCTGCTCTGGAGGCCCCTCCCTTTCCATCACTGCAGTCCTCCTAGCCCAGTGCTGCCTGCAGACCGTGGTGCTGCCAGGCTAAAAGCTACTGCAGGGAATATCCTAAGCTAGGGTGATGAACTCCTGAAGAAGGTGAGGTAGTCATTTCTGTTCTTCGGATGGGCATTGCTGGGAGGGTTAAAAATCCATGGGATGTTTTCTGTCTTAAAGCTGAAGTTAGTGGCTCAGGAAAAAATGAAGTCATTGCAGAGCGACTATATTTAGAGGCAGCAGACAGCACGGAGAGCTTTTCTTCCTTTGTGTTGCATTGCAATAACACTGCCCATGCCAGCGGGGCAGTGCAGAGGTCACCATGAAAGAGTTTGTCCTGCTTTCCAGAGGGCTGGGGGATGTCTCATAAAAGTCCCAAGCCAGCACAGCTCTTAGCTGTTGACAGAGGAGACCTGGGACTGATGTGTCCCTGGGAGCTGAGCTGCCTCAGGTCTGGGCAGTCACCTTGGCAGGATTGTGGGCACAGTGTGTCCTGTCCTTAGGCTGTTCCTGGAAGGGGAAGAGGAGTCTCTGGGGCTGAGCTGGTCCCCACGCCAGCCCGAGTGAAAGCATGAACTCACATGGGGTGGAGACAGATGGAGGTGAGTGAGGCCATGTCAACAGGATGGACCTTTCCTCTCCTTGGAGAGTTGCAAGCACTCATGATTCCTGGCAGGCAGATTTCCCGTGCTGTAGCCATTAGTGTTTGTTGAAGGAGTGGTGGGCACTGGAAAGTGCATTGGGGCATCTGGGGTTGCACTGCTCAGCCCCTTGACACTGGGGTGATTATTAATTACATGGCTGCATGGCTTTGTGGGCCAAGGCATGCCCAGGGAAAACAAAATGTTCCTGTTCTCTAAAATGAAACTGCACAAAATAAATCTGCCTCGGGTGACAGTTTTCCTGTGTTTGGCAGCAAGATGGGAAACTCCTGGACAGATCTTCACCATGTGGCTGTCACAGCAGATGACAGCTTGCTAGTGCCCTGTGCTGAGACCTCCAGTTACTCGTTTGGCTATGTGACCCTACTCAACTTGAGTCATTTTGGGAAAATGCACACAGCTCTCCCTGAGCATCCTCTACCTGGTTCAGCTAAACCATGATCCTGCTTGTGCACCCAGGAGTACCAGACTCAAATTTTGGTGATTTCCTTCAGAGCCACCACATCGGGGTTCAACTAAAATGTGTTGGCTAGAAAGACAGGACACACACTTGACAGTACAAGCAGCATGGTTGTAGTCAGACAGTTGCAGTCAGACACTGCTTTTGCACCCCAAATGTCACCCTGTGAACAGGTGAGGGCTTTGGGACTCAGTGTCCAGAGTGGGGGGAAAAGGGCACATTGAGGCAGGAAAAATGGGGGAAACATCTCTTTGTCCTGAAACCTGGATCAGCCCTTTCTGCTGTGGTGGCAAACCAGCAGATTAAAGCTCACTTGCAGAGGTCTGATGGAGCCTTGTTTTCTCTGCAGCAGGAGGTGGTGCTGATGTGCAGCTCAGGATGGTGGGACAGATCTGTGACTTGTGAGGCTGTCGACTGCGGTGTTCCTGACCAGTCTCACGTGTACTACGCCAAGTTCTCCTGCCCCAAGGGAACCACCTACCTGCAGAGATGCTCATTCTCCTGCATCCACCCAGCCAAGCTTCAAGGTACAGTCTGGAGTGCTGAGAGATTTAACTACCCTTTTTGGTGCCACCTTTCTGTGCCTGTCACAAGCTGTTCAAACAGAGCATTTTTACTTTGAATTTTTCAGTTATTCTGGCTTCTGCCAGCCGGGTTGGCTCTTGAGAGACTTCCTGAAATGGTGGGCATCTATCGCCCTCGATCAGAGACACCACAGTGTGGGGATAATTACTTCTGACTCCCATCCCCTGGCTGACAGCCCTTATCCATCCACTTCAGGGTGTAGGGATGTCTTCTCCTGATAGCTGGTGAGGTCTGGCAGCCTTCAGTATTATGGGGACGAGGGAGGCAGGAAGCATGCAGGCAGCCAGTGTGGACAGACAGAAAGGACTTCAGAGAGCCAAAAGTGGCTTGGTGCCTGGTGGCTGTGGGAAAGCCTGTGGTTCAGGAGGCCTGGGGCTGTATAAAGCCATAGAGACTGAAGCCCACAGCTGCAGAGCAGTCTGGGAGATGTTCACCACCCAGACACACAGCAGTCCCCCAGACACGCCATGGCCTGGCTTTCATTCTGCCGACTCCATCAATAGCCGCAGGAATGTTTTTAAGCCAAGTCGGAGAAAGAGAGCTACTGTTCCTGTCTATGCAAGGCTGAGCTGGATGGGATTTCGGGGGTAATTGCCTTGACAGCTTCAAGCATTGGGACTTTATGTGAGTTTCCACCAGTGCCTTTGCTCTGAACAATCACATACAACAAATCATTTTAATGGGTGCCCTATTTTATGGAGACATTTATAGTTGAAACGTATGAAAATAATTTACTTTTTTTTTTTTTTTTTTTTTTTTTTTTTTTTTTTTAAATCTAAGGAGCATAAGGAGCAAAAACTGCAGGGAATTAAGGTCTCGTAGATCCCCAGTGTGAGCTGATCAAAGGTAGCACACGGACGACAACTTGACAGCCCAAATTCTGTGCAAAACAATGTCCATTGCCTTGGGTGGGTCAGACGAGGGCAGGGCTTTAGTCTGATCTTTCACTTACAGCCACCTCTTATTCCTGCTGAAGTCAACAGGAGGTTTACCATGGGCTTCCTCAGTGGGAAGACGTCCCCTCAGTGGAGCGCCCTGGGTGTCTTCCAGCGGCTGATACAACAGCTGGTGGTGCTTGGCCAAGGCTGTCGAGCCACATGGGTAAACTCTTAGAAGTCCAGATGACTTGGCTGAGCTGTTGAGGCAGGGACGTGCTTGATGCTTGTTCTCCCTGAAGGCTCGCATCCTTATGGGCAGGCTCTCAAGGCTAATAAATGCTAAGAATAGACAAGGAAAGGATGACATGGCTGCGTGGCACTTGGAGGCGGGGGACGACCCTCGGCAACACCGGCCCACCAGGAACACAAGTGCTGAGCGGAGGCATGGTCTTGCTCCTGGTCCAAGAGCAGTTGTAGCCAGAGCAGTGATCCCATAAAAAGAAAGCAATGCTTGAAAGGAGTGTGGAGAAGTCTGGCTGCACCAGGAATCTGCTGATCCAATCTTCTCAGTAGGAAGAGTCCCATTCACTCCAGTCCAGCTTTTTTTCTTGCTCAGCAGTTCCCAGTGTCCCAGTCTGTACCATGTGGGTGATTTGGTCCTGGACAGGCACCCAGAGCTGTGTCGTTTCAGCCACCCGCTAGCTGGGTCTACCAAATGCCCTCTTGTCTAGAGGGACAGAAAAGAGTTGGGCTGTAATACTCAACCTAAACCTTTAGTAATGGGTGTTTTGAATTCCCAGTCACACCAGTTAGGCCTTCCATGTCTGTCCTCTTAGTACTTCCCATCTTGCTCTGCACATGTAGCACAGGATATGACAGCTTGTAAGGGTAAGTAAGGACAAGCTGCAGAAAGCACCTGGGGAGAATGAAGACGGGTTAAAGTAAATATGATAATGTCATGTACAGGAGCCCCCAGCCCACTGAACACTATCCTGAGGCATCACCAGAGGTTTAAGGGAAAGTTTTTGGGAAATTTACAGAACCAAGATCCTTTCTCCATCCCCTAGAAACTGTCCCTTCCCTTCTTATTTCTGCTGCAGTGTGACCAAGCATGCAATGGAGTCCATGGTCTTTGTTGCCTCCCTTTGGCATCAGTATCTACTCTAAAAAGAGGACTTTTGCTGGCTGCTCTGAGCTTTCCTCAGCAGGACTCCATCCCTCGATCAGCTGTAACACTAACAGACTTCTTCTGTTTTGGGGTCAGGAACAAACCAGTGGCTGACCTGCCTGGAGGATGGCCTCTGGTCACTCCCTGAAGCCTACTGCAAGCTGGAGTGCGATGCTCCCCCCATGGTGGCCAATGCCAAGCTCCTGGTCCCACGGTGCCTTCAGGGGAACCATGATGTGGGCTCGGTCTGTCGCTACAAGTGCAAGCCTGGATACCACGTGGCCGAGAACACAGCAGGCAAGCCTAAGAAGTAAGTCTGTGGTGGGTCTGTTATCACCATTTCCTTCCTTCTCTTCTCTTAGTGTGAACAAGGAGGAAAGCTGATGGTATGCTGGCAGTCCTGAAGAGCAGATTTGATAGGTACAAGACAGAGCAGCTTGCTCTGGTCATGCAGATTTCTTGAAATATGAGAAGCATTCGCCTAGTTTAGATGAAAGCAGTTGGGAGTAAGATCTAAACTGCTCTTGTACATGAGCGTATATTAAGTGCTTTAACCTAAAGTATGCAAATTCTCCCATGCACCTCAACACATTTGTCACTTGGTGAAAATTAAGCATGTACAGAAGTGTTTGTGGATTCTCAGGTAATTAGATGTAATAAGATGCTGGAAGATTCCTGGAGCTGCTGTCTTTCCTAAAAGCGATAAAACGTAGATCAAGATACTGGGAATTGTAAGAATGAATGACTGCCTTTTGTTGGGGTTAACATTTTACCCCCTGCACATCTTGGCTAAATTTAATCTCAAGCACTGTCATTTCAATTGGAGAAGATTTTTCCCGATGCTTTGGGGAAAAATTCCTGGTGATTCACTAGCCCTGCGCTCAGCCAGTATTCTGACGCTGGGGGGTAAAGCAACATTTTGTTTGCAACGCCTTCAGCTGAAGTCCCTGTTGGGTACGGTCACTAAAGACTCCCTGGCACTGGCCAGTCCTCCCCAGAGTCTTGACGCTAGCCCAAATCAGGTAATTATGTGCTAATTGTTTAATGCCCCCTTCCAGTTTTAATTGGATGCAGACTTCATCTCTACTTTGCTCTGGGGTAGGGTTGTTGTGCACTGGGAAGCAGTTGCCAAATTTCTTGCCTTGTAATGAAGGAAGTGGTTTCTGTAAACAGCTTTTCACAGCATTAGGAGCATTTCTTGGGCCAAGGGGAGCTGATCAAATTATGATCATGGCTATGATCACATGGACTGCTTTGCAAACTGCAGAGCAGCTTGCGTGCCTGTGGCATTTCAGGCACTGGACATGCAATCAAATCAACTCAGCTTGCAAAGTTATGCCATCTCAGTCATGCTGTGGCAACTGCTGGTAAAAAAGATGCCCTCTGGGACTTCCTGAGGCTCCTCTGGTGTGTGTATAACTACCCTATGGGTCTGAACAGCTTGTGAGACAAGTCAAGGAAAATCACGCAAAGTGGTTTACATTTTCATAGCAATGCATGTTGACATAACATTTTCACATTTGCTATTATCATTACTACTAATTTGTCTAATAACTTTAATGGTAGAGTACGATCTTGTTAATCTAAGCAAAAAAACATTAACAGAAACAGAAAATTCATTGCTTTCTTATCATGCAGATCAACTGCTATGTGAGTGGCCTGATTCAAAGCAAAAGCCTTTCTTTGGAAGTGTAAATGCTGGTGTACCATCTCATCTGGAGCTCTGTGTATACACTGAGCATAAGTACAAACCCATGTAGTGAGTAGCAGCTACTAGTCAGTAAGTGGGTCAGTCAATTGCTGGATAATTGGAAATCCTTCTGGTGTTTCAGCCCCAGCAGGCAGAGGATGGGAGCTATCAGAGTGAGAGCTTGCTTTGTTCTGGCCAGTTTTGGAGAAAGCAAGTTATTGAGGGAGATGGAGAGCTCTGGAAGGGGCTGGCATTGGTGGAGGCACAGGCAGGGTCTCAGCTGGTGATTTGGACATCAGGTTTTGCAGTCTTCTGTAGTATCTCTGGGTACAGCAAACTTGAGTTCTTGATCTATCGTCTCCCCGTTGTCCATCAACCCAGCAAGAATCAGCCTTGCTAAAGGATTTAGAGGTGTTGATGGCATAAGAAAACAAGACTCTCTATGTGTACTATATATTGGTCAGGCACAATCCACTGTTGACACTGAAGACTTCTCATGCCAGCTAACTATCTCAACCTTGGAAATATCATGAGGCTCCCTTTGAATTATTCCTCTAGCTCTAGCGATTGTGCCTTTTTAGAGGGGAACAGTGGAGGAAGTGTGACCCCCAGCTGGCCTTGCCAACAGCTATGGGGCTCAGTCTGTTTTCCAAGGAAGGTGTAGAGGCATCTTAGGGTGCCTGTGGATTCCCAAGGGAATATCTATATGAAAGACAGACTCAGCTTCTCACAGCACTGTTAGAAGAAGATTGGTAATTTCCTTCAAGGGTTGCTTGTAAGCACCTTCCTTCAGGGATGGCTTCAGATCCCCGTGGACAGAGACAGTTAAGCTGTAATATGAATGAGCAGGAACTCAACCCAGCAGCCAGGGCTCAGCATCACCTCCTGACTAGCTGCTGCTTTGATCAACCTTCTGCAGTGCCTTTCTCTGTCATGCACCTTGTAAAACACCGTGGCTGCTGGTGTTTTACCAGCATAGTGTTGGACCCCCTGGACTGGGGACCCAAGCCCTGGGGCCTTGCTTCTCACACAGTAGGGCTACGGTGTCCACCTTATGCAGACCTGGGCCATGGCTGAGATTCAGCTGTCTCTGTTCAAGCTGAGATGCTCTTGGACACAGATGTTCATGCTATTTTATCACTTCTGTTTTGTTAGTTGAATTTTACCCTAGGGGTAGTAAGGAAGCTTAGAATCCTGAAATCTTATTTGAAATTAATTTCCCATAGTGTAAGTAGAAGAGAAAGGGGATGAAGAAATCTATTGTCTCATGGAAGATGCTTTTATCTATTAACCTGGGTGAGAAAAGGCCCTTCAGAAATCACTGCTTGTCAGCAAGGGATCCTTGAGGAAATCTTGATGGTGTAATCAATATCTTGCCAGAGAATTGCTGCTCCTCTGCTGGCAGGATCATCTGACTGACAACTCTGACATGAAGGCTAAAGCTTCTTTGACTCTTCCTAAAGGAAATCTGTTTTCAGCCTGGAGAGTCCACCTAATAGCCTGGTTTTCAGCTGCCAAGCTATTTCACATATAACCCCAAAATAATGGTAATGAGGAAAACTTAATGTATGCATTGTTCGTTTGTGCTTTCTGATGGGAACTTTCTGGTTTTGGGCAGCATCTGTCCAATGACAGCACCAACCTACCCACCTGGTTCACACAGAGAAATGAATTGTCAAGGAGCAATGTTTGGCATCGTCCACAGCTGCAACTTTGAAAAGAGCTGGCCTGAAAGTCGGGGGTCAAATACTTCAGGGAAAATGGGCATCACCCCTGCAATGGTCCTTGTTGTTGCTTCCACCATGAAGTGCCATCTGAAGGAGCTCTCTAAAAGGAATATCTAGGACATCCTTTAGAGAAGCACTCTAATGCTGAGGGGGTGCTCTCGATTTGGGGACCGAAAAGGTCAGACCCTGCAGAGGGGTTGTTTCACTTTCACAGTGCAGCATGATTCCTTGGAAAGAAGAGATTTGGGGATCTCAAAGCCACCTTTGTGAGGGCTTGAGCCCCTTCTGCTAGCCTGTGGGAATGAAGAAAAAAAGAACGATGTACCCAGGTCTTTTCAGGTAGCTTTGAAAGTCTCAGCCTGCATTTTGACCAGAAACCAAGGGAGCACAGTGCAGCCCCCTGATGAACTTCCATGATGTCAGCCCCTCCATGTCCTCACCTTGTTCAAAGATGACAGAGATTATGAAAGAGGAAGAGGAGATGGGAGAATGTGGAGGAGAAAATGGACTGGAAGGAACTAGCAGACCAGTGGCTGGAAATACATCAGAAAGATTGCAGCGGGCAGATCAGGACAATCTGTCCTGGGGGCATTGTAGCTTAGCAGGGCACAGGACCACTGTACATTTGTGGTGGTTGCAAAGGCATGGGGCGCTTGCTGCTTTTGCCCACATCTGGCCCCTTCCAGATAAAAGGCAAACACTCTGAGCTGAGGGAGCCAAACAACCAGGTAAAGAAAACACTGGCTGTCAGACTCCTGTGTCACTTCCACCTCTAAGGTTGCTGATGAAGATTTACAGCCCAGGTTGCCCAGACTGTTTGGAGCAGAGCAGCAGAGGTCCTAAAAGCTGGTGTTGCTTTCTTTCAATTTACTAGCAAATATCCCTCCTTCCCTTATATTCTTTTGAAGCTGTCAGTCTCCTGCCATAGGAGATGAGGCTTTAGGCTTTATCACCATTCCTGTATGGCAGACCCAGTACATGGCTGGATCCCAGCCAGGCTCCTGCATTGCTCAGCTCCTGGAGCTGGGTAAGTGCTCATGCCTTCACGTCAGACACAGCCCTCGCTGGCCTCAGATGTCTCCCCTGCCTCCTCTACCCATTAGGCATCCACTTGCCTGGTTGGAGGGGGAAGCTTTGACTCCAATTTTCCTGGCCCCCTTGTTAATCCTTGAGAAATGCTGCTAACCCAGATCAGAAGTCCTCGAGGGTTCTGGAAATTTCAAACTGCTATGAGGTTGGGTTTTGTTTTGGGTTATGTTGGTTTTTTGGTTTGTTTTTTTTTTAAGTCTCTCCCTTCCCTTCTCTGTGCCTTAATATAAACTGCTCACTTCAAATGTGTGGCAGTGGTCCACACATCATCCTCTACACTAGGGTCAGCCCAGGCTAGTCCTGTTTTTGAAGTTCCCCAGCACAGATGCTGGTGGTGGGGTGAGCCTCCAGAGTGAGATGGCTTCTCCCCCCAGACCTAGGTGGGGTGCAGGTCTAGGTGGGAGGGGCTGTGCACAGTGCCAGCCCCTGCTGGGGTCACTCCAGCACTACATCAAGATAAGAAGCCCTGGTGAAGATGATGGGGCTCTGATGGGCCTCTGAACCACACCGTGCACCTGTGCAACCTGCAGCTCCTGCGGTGTGTCCTCCCTGCGTACTGCCCCTCTCCCCAGGTCTTCCTGGGCAAAGGGCCTCTGCCATGATTCAGAGGAGCAACAGGGAGTTGCAGTGTCTACATCTGTTATACCTCAGTGGCCCATGGGGGGTGAGTAGTAGCATGTGGCTGGGATGCTCCTGGTTTGTAAAGGAGTTTGCTTGATGCTTGAGGCACAGCTGTTGCAGTGAGGCTTTGCACCACCAGTTTGCTCCTATGACCATGATGACAACAGCTTAACCCCAGCTATTTACACCTTTCAAGTTGTACAGGTGGATCACACCTTAATTGCCAGGCAATTCAAGAAAGGGAAAATGCTGCTTGAGGACCTGGACATACAACATGGGATCAGTACCTCTAGGCATGCTCCTTGGCTCACCTTTAAAGGTGGGCAAAGCAAAGCATTCAGACAGATGAAGGAGGAGGCAAGGTCTGATGGGGAAACCTTTGAAAGGCAGTAACCATCATCCCAGTGGAAAGGTCAAGCAACCAAGAAAGTTAAATGAGGGGTGGGCTGAAACCAAAGATGTCCACTATTGGATCCAGAGTTGCTCCTTCTTGTCACCCTTCCAAAAGAGTAGGTAGTTGCAGTTCCCTTTAATCAATTCAAGGCTACTGCTCTCAGGGTGAGTTTGCAGCACAATTTGCTGCTCAGGTGCTTTACACCGTGACCACCCACAATCCTGGTGTGGTCCGGTGGGAAGATCTGTGCAGAGTTCTGTGACAGGGGACCTGCCATGCCCCATCCCCTCCCCTTCCTGCCTCCATGTTACCTGCCAGAGCCTGAATTGGCTACAGCAGGAACCCACTGCCCCCTTATACAGCCCATAAGGGAAAACAGATCCCTGATTTCTGAAGGGAGAAGATAAAACTGTAAAAGCTGCAAATATTTTAAAAGATGAGAAAGTTTCAAAAAGCTCTCAAATTTCCCATCCAGGAGTTCCCAGCAGAAATGTGATGGAGATGACCACCAGCTCCTGCCTCAGGTCTGGTGGTGGGGTGTGGATGGGGTCCCATCACTGCTCCACGTTGTGTGACCCTTCACCATGTGCTGGGAGCAGCTGGGTGGACCCATGCAATGGCTGCTGCTGCTCCGAACAAGGGGCAGTTTAGTGCCTCCTCCCGAGGGGTTCTCTTACCTAGTTAAACCCCGCTCTGCATACCTGTGGCATGCTATAAACTCCATAACGTGGTGTCTGGAGCCCTGCTTGCTGGCACTGGTGGTGGGAGAGGGCAGAGGCAAGCAGGCCATCTAGTAAAGAAGGACAGGAGTGAGGCAGGGAGAAGCCTCATTAAGGACAGAGCAATCAGCACTAGCTCAGGCAAAGCCCGTCAGCACTGTCAAAACCTCTGTGTCAAAGTCTGCAGTTTCAGTGACATGTCTTCCTCTGGAAGAGCAGTCCCCAGCCAACCTGATGCCTTGTGGGGTTTTGATGCCTCTGTATAAAAGATGCAGTGTCTCTATCACTGCCAAAGACAGGAGACTGAAAAGTGGGTGGGCTCTGCTCCTGGACGCTTCCTTTCTTTTTCATCATTTTTTTGTCAAGTAGGTTGCACCTGGGCTGTTTTTGAAGCACAGAATGGTATTGGTCTGCTGCAGTATGACAGCCCCTTGGCAAGAGCAGGATTGACAGATCTGGCTGGAGTACAAAGAGGAGCTTCAGGAGTAGCTGGGTGCAGGCCAGCAGGATTTACTGGTGGAGGCTCACTCCATCCAGCAAAATATGTAGCTACTGGTGGTAGGACCAAGCAGCCCAGGACTTGCAGGGGCTGCAAGACAGAGAGGAACAGTTTAGAGGCACCATGAGAGGCAGGGAGCAGTGGGGTGGTAAGTGCAAGGAAAAAACATCCAGTGCTCCTAAATCAGTGTGATTTCCCCCCAGTAAGTCATGATTGAGTGTGGGCTTTCCCTTCAGGAGGATCTGCCCATGGTTAGGGGTGGGATGGTGTAAGAAAGACCCATGCAGGGGGACTTGGTTGTGCTCCAGGAGAGATGTCTCTACGCTTCTTCTGCTTCTGTGTGATGCTTGGTACGGCCAAGGTGGGGTTTATTTGGGGTGCTGCTGCCCAACCTGGTGTCTGTGTTTCCCCAGGAAGTTCCTGAAGGTCCAGTGCCTGGAGAGTGGGCAGTGGGAAACAGGGCGCTGCATTCCCGTGGTGTGCGAGCCACCCCCTCCTGTCTTCGAGGGCATGTACAACTGCACCCAGGGCTTCGAGCTGGACAGCCAGTGCGTCCTCAACTGTGAGCAGCGGGGACAACAGGTGAGTGACTTGGGAGTGAGACAGAGATCGGCCAAGCATTGTACTTTGGAGAACCCAAAAGCAGCTTGACCATCCCCAGGGACACATGCCCTTGTACCACCAAACAGCAGTTGCCCTGCAAACCCAAAGCTTTTCTTGCTTTGTACCAGGCATATGGCTCACTGCTGCCTGGGGATGCTCTCCTTCTCCCTGGTGACCCTTCCAAAAAGCACTGATTGTAAGCAAGCCTGCTTGTCTCGAGTCAAAAGGGTCAGAAAGCAAAAGCAGAGGGTTTCCAGTGGGTTTGGGGAGCTGATGTGAATGCATTTGCCTGGGATGATGGGCAAGCTTGCTGCAGCAGGCTTGCTAGACAAGGGGCTTGTGTGGGGATGGAGGCTGCTGCCTGACAGGCTTTTCCACCCAGGTTTTGTATCCAACCAGCTGAAAGGGTCTTGTTAAAAGAGGTGTGGTTGTGTCCCTCTGGTGAGATCCAGCAGCAGCTGGAAAACAATTTGTTTTCTGGTCAGTACTGCAAAGCACTCATAAGCTGGACCAGATGGCTGCAACCCGGCTGCCCTGGAGAACTTCCCTCTGGTCTTTGCTGGCAGGAGGGGTGTCCTTGCATTTTTCAGCCCCCAGAGCTGGGCAGCAGCCAGGCAGGGTAAGCCCTGCCACTGCTGGTAGTAATGCCAGCTGCTCTTCCTCTGCTTTGCAGGTTCCCATTGTCTGCACCAAGGAGGGCTTATGGACAGAGGAGTTCAAACTGTGCGAGAGCTTACGAGGCACCTGCCCACCACCCCTGGAGCTGAATTTTGTGGAGTACAAGTGTGAGCAGGGGCACGGCATAGGTGAGGGCAGACAAAAGCTAAACAGTAAATCAAACCTTGTGTTGACTCAGCCTTCCTAGAGAGCTGAAGGTCATGATGACTCTTCTTGTACCAATCCCTGATAAATATATGAAAAAAAAAAATCCTGTTTTCTCTTCCATCCTCTTTCTAAACCAGGGGTGGCTTTAGCCTTGTGCATGCCCTGGTTGTACGCACGGGCAAGACTCAAAGCTAAAGTTGGCTCCAGTGTAAGCAGCTCTCTTGTCAGAAAGAGCAGGGATTTGTCTCTAGGGCAGACCCAGCCCTTTGCAGTAATTTTCCTAATCTCTAGCCCTCCATCCCTGCTGAGGTCTCTCAACTTGTTAATACTGCTGCCATTTTCAGGGTTAATGCGGCAGGTCCTAGATAAAAGCCGCACTGACAATTGTGTGTAACAGGGCACTTTCACCAGATGAGGGACCACATCATCCATTTCTTTTTTCAGAACTTGGTTGCTTTGTGCTTTCAGGGAAAGCTGCAATGCTCAGTGACAGTCGTTGCATCTTGCCTGGCATCCCACGGGTCAGGACACTTGAGCAAAGCCTATAACACTCTGAAGCAAACACACCAGTCAGCTGGCTCTAATCAAAACTGGCTAAGGCAGTCTAAGGACAGGGCCTGCTAACATTAAGCTTTGGACAGACCTGATGTGTGGCTGAGGTTAGGTCTGGGATCCACCAGGTTTTCCAAGGTGTTTTTTGCAGCTTTTTTATTTCCTGAGTCATAGGAAGGCAGTGGGAATTCAGTGGGATAGAAGAACTATGAAAGATGCTTCCTAACATGTCAACAAACATCCAATAGCATCCAGGCAAGACTTATTTTCACACTGGATCCCATGTCCTGCCATCAGGGCTTGAATCAGTCTCTTAGGCCGTGTTCAATTTTCATCTCATCTGGGAGGAGGGAATTGACCACAACTCCTCTAGGCTCTTGCATAATTCAGGATTTGTGGAAGGAAATGTCACCCCAGGTTGGGAGGAAAAGGGTCTCCTCTATGTCTGCCTCTACCCTCAGTGAGGAGTCTACATGTTTGGGTCTGGTGCCATTCTGTAAAATATCATTGCCTGGTTCCTGATGGAGTCCTCAAGGCTCTCTCTCCTCCTGCAGGTGCTGTGTGCATACCTTCCTGTATCATACCTCCCAGTGACCCTGTCATACTGCCTGAAAACGTAACTGCTGAGACTATGGATCACCGTCTGCAGCCCACCAGAGTCCAGGTAAACAGGGAGGTGGATTCCTCTAGCAGAGGGTTTGTTGGCAGCATAGAGGAGAGACCCCCTTCTCTCTATCTCGTATTTTTTAACCAAAATCTCTTTGATTTGGGTGAAGAAGGGTAAGACTTGGAAAGACAAACAGCATAAGTGAGCTTGGAGCTGGCTGGCCCTCTCTAAGGAGCTGCCCAGGCTTCATGCTCTGGAGGTACCTGCTGTTCCCCATAACCAGGGTCCAGTGCCAAGATCCTCCCTTCTACCACTTCTTTCTCTCTTCTCTCCTCTGTGGATGCTACTGCACAGTCTCCTGCTCTCCCGTACCAAGGTTCAGCATAAATTATCAGCTCCCAAGCCATCTTTCAAGGACTTGCAGGTTACCACAATGAATGAAGTTAAATGCAGGAATCCCGCTGATTTTTCAGGACGTGCCATATGCCTAAACCTACTAAGCTGCTGTTACTGTCAGCCAATGTGCTGGGATTGCAAAAACCGCCCCTGGCACAGCATGAGCCTGGGTCCTCGATTACCTGGCAGCAGACATGCAACCCCAGGCAGGCATCTCCCTGCCAGGGAGGAGGCAGGGCACTGTCAGCTGAAAGGTGTCTGGCTGCCAGGACCCGCTGGCCGGCCGGTTGCTTCTGCTGCTGGAACAGGGGAGCTTTTCCCTCCCCATCTCTTACTCATTTTGTAGGCAAAACAGCTCAAATAGCTCAAATAGTTTGGATCCTCATGGCACGACTTTCCCAAAAAGCAGCTCCGCTGGGGTAATATTTCTTAAAATAAAAATGAGATGCATAATGAAGGAGGTGGAACAAAGAAAAGCAAACAGTCTTCCCAGGAGCCAGCACTCCCATCCAAACACTTTCCCCTCCTCCTGGGAAGCCACAGGAGGCCCAGCATCATGCTTGTGGATACTACTGTACGTCGCCTTGAATCAGACCCACAACGGATCGCTGCCGGGGGGTGAGGATGCCTGGAGTGTGTGGGATGGTTAAGCACGAGCCTTGGAAGGAGTCCTCGCCTTTGAGAGATTGGATGGCTTGGCCCGTCGAGGTGGTGGTTGTTCAGCTTCCCTTTCACCGCCGAGGGCTTTCATACAAAGGAGGCATTTTGCAGAGAGGAGGAGGAGGGAGGGGAGGCGCTATTTTAAGAAGCAGTGGCTCCCCCTTGCCAAGAGTGTCTTGTTTTTCTCTCTGCCCTGGCTTCTGCCTCTGCTCCCTTCTTTGCTCCTCCAACCCTCCAGCAGCTTGCCATTCTTGGGACCTGCTCTGCTCCTGAGGTGGTGGAGAGGATGGGGCAAACCACACAGGGAGATGCAGTGGGCACTTGGGGAGGGCATGGTCCTGTTTTGCTTTCAGCTCTGATCCACTGCATCCTTCAGCGGAGCAGGTTTGTCCCTCTGCCTTTATTTCCCAGCCTTAGTGTACTAGTATGGGTACACTAAAATGCCATTTAAGTTGCACAACAACAACATTGGAAACACCCCAGTAGGGTTAAGATGCAAACATCCTTCGGGCTGAGTAGGAACAGGCTAGCTCAGCCAACACCCTTAGCCTCTGTCCCATCTGATGGCAGCTCCCTCTGAGTCTGCCTTCCCTGCGCTGGCTGAGGATGTCGAGGACCTCATCCTGTCCCCGCATGGGCAGAGATGGCTCATCCTCAGCTGCCATGCCATCCAGGAATGATGGAGCCGGTCTGCTTGCTGCTGCAGATTTTGAATGGGAGGCTCGAAGAAAACATATGTGTCCCTCTGGGTGACTCCTGCGCTGTGAAGGGCATCCTAGGACACTTTCACAGGCCAGCCATCATTTTATGGGGCCTCAGATTTCAAAGTCTGCCTGAGCTTTACAAGGAGAAAATTACATGTGTGGTGGGGCTTTTCTTCCCCCTGTATAATCATGAGTGCTCCTCACAAAACCCTGCTGAATGAGTGGGACAACACTTTCCAGCATGATGAAACAGAGCCCTTCACATCTCGCTCTTGTGTCCAGTTGGCTGTAACAGCTGAGTTTGTGCCTTGTAAATACCAGCGATAACCTCAGCCCCATGAGTGAACATGAGCAAATCTGCTTCAGACCAAGTCCAGGGAGTTGAGTCCTGCTGGGACCCTGTTCTTGGAGCCTGAGCAGGGGTCAATAAGCAAATTGATGCAGGCACTGAGTGATGACTGGCTGAACCCCCCATCCTGTGGGAGCGAGAAGCTGTTGCAGAGAGGTGATAGCAAACTCAGCCTGTTGTGGCCCTGGATGGCTTCCTCAAGAGCAGCAGTTTGCTGCCAGGTCAGCCACCATAAGGTGGCACTGACAGTCAAACCCACTTCTCTGGTGCTTACTGCTGTCTCCCTTTGTCCTCTCTCAGTTGCATGTCCATATACACCTACATACACACACACGTCTATCAAGCCTCTGCATTGAACAATGTACATTGGTTTGTGGGTTGAACCAGGTGTAGCTGCCTTGGGTTTGATGGGCTTCAAAGTGTTTCCTGCTGAGCAGAGGTGCAGGGAAGGTCCCTGGGTGTGCCACTGCTGTTCTGCATTGTGATCAGCAATGCAGAGTTGTGGCAGATCCTCTACCTCCAGAAAGCATTGGTGGCTGTTGCCCTTTCTGCTGCCTTGCCTAACAGCTCTTTTCTCCTTCCCTCCTCAGCATATTGTGTGCACGGGCAGGCTGCGGTGGTATCCGGACCCCTCCGTCATTCACTGCATTCAGTCGTGTGAGGTAAGCCCCCCCTGACCCCAGCATGAGCCTCCTGCTCCTTGCAGGAGAGCTCCTGGCAATGAAGACTTACTCCAGCACAAAGCCAGAGGGCTTTAAGTTCATGTTTGCTCTGAGCTGGGACCAGGGCTTGCTGGCTGAGCAGAGAGGCCAGAGCAAGCATCCTTGTGTATGGTCCCCCGCAGCCAGGGCAATGCTGGGGAATAAGAGCTGCAGAATAACCCATTTCCTTCCTTGCCTGCTGCTTCTTAACCATCCCAGGAAGAATGTTCTAGCAAAAGGATTTCACTGGCAAGGGGTATCCCCAAAAAGCCCATGTTGACGCCAAGCCTGAATATTTCCTTAACCAGAACCGCAGTTCTAGAGTAACATGGATCTAGAAAAGCCCTGCGTGACTCACGCATCCAACCAAAACAACTAGGATTTCCAGCCTCATACATGCAAAACAAACCGCTCCTGAAGAATCTGCAGACAAAGAATTCCTTGCAGAAATCGGTTAGCCACTCATTTTGCTTTGAATAATGACCAGGCAGGAGAAGATCATAGGCAGCCTGGAGTCAGTTTGCAAAGGAAATTAAAAGTAGGCAGTCTTTGTCAAGTACAAGTTGTTATTATGATTGAGGAAAAAAGGAAAAAGGAAGGGGTATTTTGGAATGTTTTATGCTGAAAATTTGGGATTTTTACCAAAAAATAAAAATGTAAATTAAATTTGCACACCAAAAATAGCCTTGGGATGTGCTGATTAGTTTTTTTATGTGCGCATTTCAATGCAAATGATCACTTTTGCTCACCGATTATGCCTAGCTCAGCTTTTTATCAGCTGAAGTGTGGGAGAAAAGGTAATGTTGCAGAGGGCATGTTCCCAGAAACGGAATGTTACGGGCAACATAAGGTGCAGCACTCATTTCCCAAACTCAATGGCTGTGTTGTGCATCTCTACTGCAAGGCGTGGTCTGCAAGAGTAGGGGAATGAGGTCCTGTGTTAGAGAGTTGTTTGATGGTTGACTATCAGAGCCTAGTGAAGGATCCTCCAGAATTTTGGGAACTCCAGGTCTTTCTAAATGTACATCTTTTAGCTCAGATCTGGGGCAATGTATTTGAAGTAGAATGGGTTTATGTGGAAGGGCAGTCCAGATCAACCATCTGGTAATCCCCTCTATGGTTCTGCTCGCCAGGGAGAATTGTTTTCCTTGTGCTCTCTGGGAGATGGTCCTTCCAAAAAAGAAACAGATGTGATGTGAGGTGAGGTGCTCCTTCTTCCCTTCTTATGCAGCTCAGGTGAGAGAAAGCCACCAACACAGTCGTGAGGGTGCTCCCTTAGGTACACTGGACCAACCCCAGCCTTTCTTCCTCTATGGTTCCTGGACCTCACTTTGGTTCTGTGTCTTCAGCAAGAGATCCTACAGGGGATGATGAAAAATGCCAGCTTATTTGTGTGTGTGTGTGTGTGTGTGTGAGAGAGAGAGAGATAGGGACTGCCTGAAGTCTCAGCATCTCACAGTAACAGTCGTTGTCTTCTCATTGGCCACCCAAACATGCTCATAGCCAGTATGACCTCTTTCTGTTCCTGGATGCTTGTAATCCCCTTTTACTGTTAGAAAGCAATCCTAAAGAGCACGCAGGAGGTTAAGCAAGCCAAAATCTTGCAGTGTCCTACCAGAAGATAGAGAACCCATGCTCTTCATCACCCCTGCAGGATTTTTAATGCCTTTTCTGCTTTCGATTAATCTTTCATCAGGAATGACCAAGCAGTAGATATTCTTCCAGCTGAGGTCTCACCAAAGCCCTGCACAAAGCTTCTTTGTGCTGGAAATGTCTCTTTTGATAGGATCCAGAACTCTATCTGTTGTTTCTGCAGTTGCATCAGTCTGGCAGCTCAGAGATATCCTGAGGTCAGCAAGTACACCCAGACCTTTCTCTACCTCCTTTGTTTCCAGCTGATGAACTCCAAGCTAACAGCAGATGTTTTACCATCAGTACAAGAGCTTGCCCTTCAATTTTATACAAGTGAATGTCATTCTGTTTCTCTGTCTCTAGTCCTTCGGGTCAGATATCCTGATCCTTCCCTGTGGAACAGTGCCTTTTTCCTCGTTAGCAGTTTCATCAGCACAGGCCTATTTTTAAGGTCACAGTCACTCACTGTAATACTAATGAAGATTCATCCTCAGATTGTTTCTTTCACCCTGATGCTTTCGTTTTTGATACAGTTCACAGCTGCCTCCTCCCTGTTCTCCTCCTCCCTCCTCACTTCTCACGTATGTGTCTTTGATTATTCCTTCCATTAGGTTTTCTTCTACAATGCTGCAGGTTGTTAAGGTTGGGCTGATAAGCCAAGTCTTCCTAGATAACTTTTTTCACACATGTTTTATAGTAGTCATTGTCTAGCCATAAAGAATAATTCTTACTAAAAGTGTCTCATTCAAAGTATTGCTCTGGGAGCTGCTGCTCATCACTAGGAAGAAAGGTGTTGCCAGTCCCTCTGTCTGACCACAGAAAATGCTGTGAATGTTTTTTTCCACCTCATCTGTGCTGTCTTCCATCTTCATTCCTATTCCTTTTCTGCCTCCATTGTTATGACCAAAAGCACTGCAGTTCTCAGAGGTCCATTTCACTTGGGGCCCAATCTCTTGTGGGGTCTGGGGATATCAGACAGCAAGAGCCAGGTAGAGATGGAGTATAACCTGTAATCTGTCCTTGCTACATGGTCCCCTCTACCCACCTTTTCATTTTCTCCCCTTTATTTACCTGCACAAGAAATATTCTGCTGCTGTACAACATAGTCCCTGCTGGGTCTGACATGGGTCAGTTTGACTTGCCATGTCCATGGGTCATCTTAGTTCCAGGTTCCTCCTAGTTTCACAGTAATCCTTTACTGGAAGCACCTCCTTTAGGAGCCCAGCCTCTTCTCTCCACTGGGCAATGAAATGCCGTTCCAGTGGACTGCCGAAGTCACCTCAAGTCTGTGTCACCCCTTAGAGATGTTGTCTCTCCATTGACTGCCAAGAGCACATTGGATGAGGAAGCTTTCTCATCTGGATGCCTCAGTGAGGGGAACAACCCTATGTAAGAGAAATCCAGGCCACCTGGCTGCTTGTACCATCTCCCTGGTGTAGTCACTTCAGGCTGGGGCACGGCAGCAGTAGCCAAGCCTCAACTTCTCCAGCCACAGCTGGAGCCCTGCCTCACATTGGAAAGTTCAGGTCACCACGCAATGGCATTAGAGGGATTCTCACTCATCTTTATTGTACGCTGGCAGCAGATCAGCCTGCCTGCTCATCCCTCTCGCTCCTCTCCCCACCCCCCTTCTCTTTCCATTAATCTGGTCATCCACATGCTTCCCGTTGTCTCGCTGTGCCTTGCCAAGTTCCCCATTTCCAGAGCAGGGAGGCACATAGTTCAGCAGGCGAGGGAGGGAGGGATGCAAACCTTTCCAGGAGCCTGTCAGGAATACAAGTTAGCACGAAACATGCTTTTCCTCTTGAGGTCCAATGGAACACCTCATCCCCTGCCATCAGTGCTGAGGCAGGGGGGGCTTCATCAACATGTTTACCCAGTGTTACTCACAGGATGGAGTAACCGCCAATGTTCTGCTCAAATACACTTAGAGGAAGGCAGGCTGTTGCTGCAGTGATCAGAGTGAAGGTGGTCAGGCTTTTCTGGGCAGCCAATACACTGTGCAACATGCTGACTTTGCCCCCACCCTCCAGCTCTATTTCGTCATTGTCAGAAGGCAGCAAAGGGTTAATTGCAAGGGATTTAAGACAGCATGCTCTGGGCAGACTACAGGGAATCAGAGCTTCATACTGGTATGGTAGGAGCTGGACAAAAGCTACCACAGCTGTTGTCTGCCTCTGTAAGATAGCAATTCCTTCCTGATGTGACTTGGTGCCTTCTCTGGTTAGGGTTGGCTTTGCTGTGCTTTGCTCTGAGCAGTCCTGCCTGATTTCTAGGGGAACGTCAAGAGACTCTGGCTTGAGGTCTCTGCTTCATGCCTTTGGTGAAGATGGGCCATACCAGAAAGCTGTTGTGAGAGTGAGCTTCTGGGATATTTCTCAGGTCTTCCCTGTGTGCGGACAAGGTCTCGCTGCCCTTGTGCATGCTGCTGGTCATGTTAACATGATCGTAAAACACTCATCCATTCCCTGTTTTGTGGTTTTGCTGAGATATTACAATGGAAATTATGAAATAGGGATTGAAGTGTGTTTGTGGTTGCAAGTTTTTCTCAAGTCTCTTGATCCAACAGGTAGTCAAGGATCCTGATGGATCCTTGGCTCTTCCCACCAGCACGCACAAAACCCTTGTTCCACACATCTGTGGCTTGTGTCCAGCATTTGTCAGCCAGAATTAACCCCTTTGAAGGCATATGCACTACAGATGATGGGAAGCCTTATCTAAAATCAGGGTCCCACTGTGTTTTTTAATGTGACAGGGTGCAACTTGCTCCCTGGGCAAAGCACTGCAGTTGGGGTCCAGCTGCAGGCATCTGCCTCTGCTCCTCACCATCAGTGACACTGGGGCCCCTTGGTTATCCCTCATCTCAGACCTTGGGGGGCTCTGATTTTGTACTGTGGCAAAGCTCAGCACAGGAAACCAGGCAGAAACATGATGCTGGTGGGATGCTCTGCTCCAGGAAAGACATCATCTTCTCCTTAAGGCAATGAGGACTACAAAGCACCCCAGCTTCTCCAAGGAGACTCTAGATCAACTAGGTAGCACAGCATGGCCAGAATTCAGTCACCCTGTCTTGTTGCTTGCATCATCAGTTTCTTGTACCCATGTGAGTATTTCATGGCACCATTATCCATTCTGCACTCTTCCTCTGGTTGCTGTCTGGCTTTGAAAATGCAGAGAAGATCCTACTGGATGTGACTGTTGCTCTTGCAGGCAGGCAAGAGGCAGACCATGTGACTGCTATTCCTTCACAAATCTCACCAAAGCCAAAGTCTAAGGCCCATGTGGTCCAGGTGACCAAACTGGACTTGATGAGTTGCCCTAGATCCTGG